TTTTTTTTTTTTTTTTTTTTTTTTGGCTGGGGAAAGATGAAAAAAGCAGTTTAAACAACTTGTTATCCTACCTTGCTACAGCTGAATATTCCTGTTTCAATGCAGTGGCTGTTTGTGGGCCCTGCGCTGTGCCACGCATTTCATTCAAGTCCAATATGGTTAGCGTCCTCCATCTGTCTGTTGTGCCAGGTCTGTGTTGCATTCAAAGACTGCCTTTTGGTAGCTGTGCAAGCCTGTTTTGGTTAGCTATAAATGGTAATGCCAGATGGTTACACTGTAAAGTCTGTATATAAATATTTTTTTTGTATGTGTAATTTTTTGTTTTCCTACCGCATAACGCGACAATTTTTATTTCTTCTTGGGCTACTGGGTCTGACAGAACCACAATAAAATGTTGTTTGTTTTTCTGTTTTTTAATTATTATTTTTATGCAGAAGGCTTACTGTTACAAATCGTGTAACAAACAACCAGACACTGGATGAATATATTTGTATTTTTCATACTGAGATTACTGTGTTACGTTGCAGTTGCGGGGGGAGGGAGTGCATACTGAAAGCCTGTTGTATCATTTTATTTTGTAACACTTCAAAGATCAGTGTCCTAGATTTCAAAGTATTTAACATGCTCAGTGTGAGAACTTACTATATGTCTTTATATTTTTTTCTATATGGTACAAAAGAAGCAAGTCATTCTGCTCTTGACTTGATGCAATGATTAATTCAGCAGGGCAGTGTCAGTGTGGGGGAAGTGTTAGTGCAGATACTTTACAAGTCCCTGGAGGTAAATTAGGCTGTGCCCTTCTCACCTCCGAGGTTTTTGCATCTCCGTTGTGTGGTCCTGAGCTGCTTCAGTATTGTACATACATTGATGCAAAAGACACGGTCATTTTTAGGATCTAGGGAGCTTCTGACTATAAAGGTTTAATGCAGTTAATGCTGCGCCCAAAGTACAAGAACTTCAGTATCTGCTTTTCAACTCAGCAGCGAGATGGAGCTTTTCTGCTGCATCACTAATGATCAAAATATATGCTGTGAAAACCTTCTTTCTACTGTATGCCACTATGGATCCCACTTCGATATAACTGGAATCTTCAAGTGAGTTTGAACTGCTGTAGCTTTTGCCCTCCCCTGTAGAGCTGTGATTTTGTTTTGTTTTGATGCATCAAAGTGTTATGGCTTAATTGAGCTGAGAATCTGCCCATGCTTGTAGCAATGACAGTGTTGCCTGCACCAAGACCTCGGTGTGTTCTGGATCGCCTTGTTGTTGAAGTGAATGAAAATAAAAGCCAAAACTGAAAATTACACTGAATTCTCAAACAACTTATTTTCCTCCCTGCGCGCCTTCTTGGAAATGTCCTCCTGTGAGCAGCCGGAGCTTAGTGTCACCTTTGCCCATAGGTGCAGTTTTCTGTCCCTACAGAATCTGTGGCTTGAGGGTGTGGTCCAAGGTGCCATCACACATCCATCTGCTGCCTTTCTGTCAGATGCAGCAGGTCAGCTCCATAAGCCTCTTGCTGAATTGCGAAGTCTTCAGCCTTTGGCATGGCTCTTTTCTGCCCTTTCCTCAGATTTCCCTATTTTGTTTCTAAGCAGGGCACCCAATAGTGCCCCACGTTCCGCGTCATGCTGGAGAGAAGGAATGTGTGCTTGGAGCAAGAAGGGTCAGTGCTGCCCTTTGGCATCCACACTTGGGAAATAGTCTTGCACCAAAGGCTTTGTGCATCACCTTGTGCATCCTCTCCCCTAGCAAAGCCATTTCCTCCTCCTTTGCATCTCAGTTTTTCTTCCAAGGATTTGAAGTAAGAAACAGCTCAGTGCTAGTGGGGTGACTATTCTGAAGGGAATGGGAGTAGTGTCCGTCAGCTGGGGCCTTCAGTCTGTCCATGGACCACCACATTAACAGCCCAGCTTCATCAGTGGCTTTTGCCCATGGCTATTTCTTACAGTTGTTATGGGTTGTGGTTGGGGGAGGATGCTTAGGAGTGGGGAAAGTGGAAAGAAAACCCCACAAATGCCTTAAAAGAAGAGGCTGTCCCGACTTCCCTTGGGAGCTGGTTTATTGGGGTAGGGAGTGTCTGCCTGATTTCTTTGGTTTTGGTCACTGTTGCCTTTCCCAAATGATTAGAGTAGTTGACATCAGACACCAATATCCAGAG